AGACTCCTCCGCTCTCCTGGGACTTCTTGTGATGATATAGATCTTCGCCTCCCCTCTCCCTGCCACATTTGGTGTGGAGTACGGTGCCTTGGTCTGCCTGGGTGTTCGCCGCTCCCGGGTCAGGGAGTTTAAGATTTTTGGCATCTGCCTGATCAATCCCGGTGGCTGCCTGGTGGGATCAGTGTCCCTGGGCTCTGCTGGGTCCCCGGTGGTGTTGGTCGCCCCTGGGTCCCGGAGTTCCAGGCTCGGCCGGCTTGGGGGTGGGAGGCTGCTGGCGGGCCTGTGGGCTTGCCGCTGATATCTCCCGGGACTCTGCTGGCTGCTGGTTGTGGCCCCCCAGGGCGATCCTCTGTGCCTCTCGAGGGGAGCAGGGACTTTTCTGGTTGCAGTCTCCCTGCGTTCTGGGGCAACTCCTGGATCTCTGGGACTTGGAGCTCCCTCCGTCTCCGGCAGATCTGTGGTCCCTCACACTCTCTATTAGACGCTTTTATAAAGAAACATTACATAAACAAGCGTGTGTACACACACAGGTGCTCACATGGTGCTCTCATAAGTATGGACTTGGGCATTTTCAACACATGTCTTAAGGCTGTGGTTGGCACTAAATGCACTGTGAGTTATTATCGTGCGATTGTTCAGTTAAACAATGCTGATTTTATATTTCCTCATCAGGCTGATGCAGTGATAGCTTGCTCCTGTTGTATTGCTGTTGTGTGTCCCTTTTCTGCAGGTCTAGAAGCAGACTCTTGTTCATCATTGGTTGGTTATTTTGTTATTCATCAGACGTGAAACCATCCACCAGAAGCCACCTGGGAAGTATCTTCTGACCAGTCGTGTTTGCTGAGGGTGTCCACAACCTTCAGATGCATCAGAAGTCCACTCACTCGCTCTGAGACGGCTTCACCTGCAGACCAGATCTCCAGAGCTTCCATGATCCAGGGTGTGTAGACTAAACAATGGTGTCAGAGTGGTTGGTATTACCGTATTTTCCGGACTACAAGTCGCACTTATTTTCATAGTCTGGCTGGTCCTGCGAGTTTTATACCAAGGTGACTTATACCAATTTATGTATGCCGCGCTGCTGCGGGCCAGCTCCGGACCAGGAATGAGCTCCCCTGTCCCGCTGGGAGGGTTTCAAACACCGCCATCCTCTGCTGGAGACCGTGGTGCGCTGCTGCGGCCGCGTTGTTTATTCTGTTATTGTTACCAGTACTTGTCTCGAAATGTGAAATGCTTGGTCTCAGATTTTGTAAGAAAATAATAAAATTTCCCCCCGAAATGCGACTTATATATGTTTTTTTTTTCATTATACATTTTATGGCTGGTGCGACTTATACTCTGGAAAATACGGTAATCTGATCATTTGTTAAATTACATCCATCAAACATCCAAATTATTTATTAAACCAGACATCACACCTTTCTGAGTCACTCTTAAACACACCAGGTCATGTTTCATCAGAGTTCATTCATGGTCTCATTTAACATCACTGTGTCACCATTCATAATCATTAGTCTTTCATCATTATTAATATAGTAATAAATAGATTAAACTATATTTTTGTCTCTTTGTCAGATTATTATAAAGTGTTTCCCTGGATTAACCAAAGTACCTAGCTTCATCATCTATCAATATTAAAGGTTCAATAATACTGATAATCCATATTTTTATGGAATATTATATTCAATTCAGTTTATTTATAAAGCGCCAAATCAGGACAGGAGTCGTCTCAAGGACCTTCACACAGTAAACAATACTAGTCAGGTCATTCAGCCAATCAGTAATAGGGATGCACCGATCAGGTTTTTTGCTGCCGATCACCGATGCCGATATCAAAGAATGCTGATCACTGATACCGATCACCGATACCGATCACGTGGATTGGCCAGAAATTTTCTACAACATTATAATGAGTGCTACAAACTACATAATCTGGGAATAAAGGAAATGTAACTCTAATCTAAAATGATCTGTATTAGGGTTGTCACGGTGTGAAAATTTAACCTCACGGTTATTGTGACCAAAATTACCACGGTTTTCGGTATCGCTGTATTTTTTTTTAAATGTGCTACATTTTCACACAATTAAATAAACCCTGTATATCAGGAAATATTGTCCTCAGTTTGTGTCTAAATTTTGCCTAAAATGAGTTATTTTGTAATTATGTTGTTTATTTGTTTACATTTTTTCCCTTTAGTCTTTAAAATACCAATATTTGCCAATAACTTCTTATTTTTTTCTGTTTGATGTCATCATTTTAAAAATATTAGACCAGATGATACTCAGTACTCAAGTAGCCTTCTAATCAGATACTTTTTTACCCTTACTTGAGTAATAAACCCTATATCAGGAAAATATTGTCCTCGGTTTGTGTCCTTCCAGTGAGCTTTGCAGATGTGGGAAAATGTCATCAGGCAGTAATCATTGTTAAATTCATAATTATTCTCGGAGAGAGACCAACTCTTATCTGACCCTGGGAGCCCCGTAATGCATAGCGTCATTTCAACATGGCGGTGTCCGCGACACGGTTTATATGCAGGTAGCGGCGCTGCGGCTGCTTTATATAGCGACTCGTTGCATTCTCCCTCAACCCAAATCCTCGGATCACGCATTTTAGCTAAAGCGCTAACGTTAACTTGCCTTGCGTTGACTGTAGAGTTGTGGGTGATGGTCACGCAGATGTGTCATGAGATTTGAAGCGTTGCTGCCTTTCACAGAGACTTTTCCTGCACGTGCTGCTAACACGATAGCCGTCTTCTATCAGCTGTCCCTCAGCATTCCTCAAATATCCAAAAGATGCCCGTACTTCCCACTTTGTCTTCTTTGAGGGATAATAAATGTCCTGAGCGCTGCCGTCTCCTCCTTTGGCCATTATTTCAGCTTTAGCTTCAAGAAAGTTTTGGTCGTAAACAACAAAGTGCGCATGTGCCGCCGGCAACTTCAGCAGATGATACGGTGGCTGGTAAGGGTCACCGCGCCGACACCGCAGCCACGGTAACCCACCGAGATATGGTTTTTAAAAAAACTAGACGGTTATTATTATTGTCAACTTTTTTACCGGGGTTTACCACTACACCGGTTACCGTGACAACCCTACATGATCGGTCTACTTTGATCTATTCTGAAAACTCCGATCAAAACCGATAGGGGCGCTATCGGCCGATTGGGATCAAATGCCGATCCATCGGTGCATCCCTAATCAGTAACAAGTTTCCTATATAAGGAACCCAGATATATAGGATAAGCTTGCTTATTAAATTTTATCCGTCACAAATACAGGGGGGGCCAAAAATGTTGGTTTTCATAGGGCCCAGGATTTCTGGCAGCACTCGTGTGTGTGTGTGTGTGTGTGAGTGTGTGTGTGTGTGTGAGTGTGTGACCTCGCTGGGGAACTATTGGGTGGTTTAATCCCTAATCCAACCTCTTAAAGTTGAGTGTCAGGCAGGGAGGCGTCGGGTCCCATTTTAAGTCTTTGGTATCAACCGACCGGGATTTGAACCCTGATGTCCCAGTCCCAGGGCAGACACACTACCACTAGGCCACTGAGCTGGTTTAAGGGCCGGAAAAACCCACCGACACCACTGATCATGTCTCCAGAAGCACCAGAGGATGTAAGGTACACTACCTCACCTACGGAGATAACAAATATCTGGTGAAGAGGACAAGAGTTTCTAGACCCAGGGAGGCCGTGGACTATGTTCTGGAGATGGACGTCCCACCGGCTGAGTGGACCCTAACTACAGAATAAAAGACCAAATAGGAATTACTTAAGTATTTACACTCTGTGGATCATTTACCAGGTTCTGTCCAAAGCAGCCCATTAATTTCTCTTCTGAACTTCAGCCTGAGTGCAGATCAGAGGCAACCCCCCCACCCCCACCCCTGCATGTTGACCTTTGACCCGGACTGCTGCTTTTGTCTTTATCGAGGACTTTAAAGCAGGACAAATGTGAGCCTCATTTCTGAGACGAATAATGAATAAAGGAACACCTCTTGGATAAAGCGCTCCACGCCCATCGCAGCAGACCCTAACCAGCTCCCGACGGAGGATTTCAGACTTCCCGCTCTCACCGGCGGCCACTGAGTCGCTGTTTCGTGTGTGTGCTGTGATGTTGTTGTCGTGGTTATGTCAAACTAACCCTACGGAAGCTCTGGAGGGCCAAAAAGGCGCTATTACATAAAAATTCTAATTACTTTTTTAAAAGTCGCCCACAACAAAAACATTTTATTTCGTTAAATGGATTTATCGCCCAGGCCGAGCAGAAATACTAAAACACTAAAAATACACCCTAACCCTGTCATATCTAACCCTAACCCTGACATATCTAACCCTAACCCTGACATATCTAACCCTAACCCTGACATATCTAACCCTAACCCCGTCATATCTAACCCTAACCCCGTGTAAGGACGTCCAACAACTGCACCAATCCGAGACAAACCCGAGACCTTAAAACACCTAAACAACGTTTATCAGGCAGACTGCACATGTCCCAGATTTATTCCAGATATCCACGACAACATTCTCACTGCTACCATTACACAACATTCTCATAAACACACAGGATATGCTACAACTCATCAAAATAAGAGCACCAGGATGTCCAGAAAAGCAGACTCAGCTGGAGTTTGGATGAAAACATGAACTTAAATCTCCAAACAAGGTTTGTGATGGATCAGGATCTAACCTCAGATGTCCACCAGCAGGCGGCAGCAGTGAGCAGGTTAATGATCCCGATCCCAAACGTCATCCACGATGCTTTTCAAAATAAAAGCACGCTTCAAACAAAGTAGTTTTAAAAGTATCTTTGTTTGCTAAACATCTGGATGGACTCCGTTAACGACTGGACCTCCTTCTGGTACCGGACGGGTTCAGGTAGGCCAGATCCGGGAAACTTTTAAGTTTATTTGGTCCACCTGGTCCATCTGGAGTTTAGAGGGCTCGTTTAACACACACACACACACACCCACCCCGCCATGAGTGGACTCGGTTCCGTTCTAACGATAACTAAATCCCGGTGTGTTCCACCGCAAAAGAGCGTAAATCCCGCAGATTTGAGTTGCTCCTGATGCTAAAACTGCGCACATTTGCGGATGTTCGACCGGAGCACACGTGGAGGCTCTGCTGACCTTAAATGGCCTCAGACTTCTGCAGACTTTGGGACTTTACCTGGAACATTTGCCGAGGAGGCTCCGTTGGTTCTGGTTCCGTCCACAGCAACGCCTGAAGCAGGCCGCTACTTCCAGTGTCCCTCTGTCCTGTCAGCCTGGCCCCGGACCTGGACCTGGACCTGGACTCTGCTGCGAATGGTTTGTCTGCTCTTCAGAACCCCACGCACACTTCACGTGAACACTTCCCCGCAGCCAATCAGGGGGCGCGCAGCCCGAGTGATCGGGGAGGGGCAGTGGCGTAGTCCAGGTCCGGCGTCATTTGAAATCGTAGGATGTCCAAGGAAGGTACCGCCTTTCTCGCCTCTGATTGGCTACTGGGTCACGCCCCTCCACTACGGGTCCCCGGAAGCGTCATTTAGCTGGCCTGTCCTCCAGCAGAAAGCTGCTTTGGGGAGTTTAGTAAAGAAAACGTGAACTTAGCGCTAAAATAACCATTATGTCCTGTTCTGATCAATATTTTATGTTCCATAAAAACATAAAATGTGCATTTATAATCTCGTTGCTTTTATCAAACTGTTGGACTTCCGTTATCTCTTGGCTCTGAAGCATTAGAGTACATAGGATAAACACATGTGCCTTACCTGGGTATGACATTTAATAAAACCACCCTGTTCTGCCCAGCTGTGTGCATCAGGTCTGTTTCTTCTCTAGATTAATGAAAACTGGTGAAAAATAGGTCTAAATCTTAATCAGCTTTAACTTAATTTTTGATTAAATGATACACATTTAACCTGATGATGAGAGACGTGCTCTAACTTGTAAACAGCCTCAACCTATAAAGGCAGGAGAGCCTAATAATGGAGTAAAGTAAGTGGAGTGGTGGTCAAGTCGTGTGATTGGACAGCACCTGTAATGGCTCCCAGCTGAGAAGGGCTTCAACCAGGACACGGTGGTGTGTGCGTGTGTGTGTGTGTGTGTGTGTGTGTGTGTGTGTGTGTGTGTGTGTGTGTGTGTGTGTGTGTGTGTGTGTGTGTGTGTGTGTGTGTGTGTAATGGAGCACTGGCATGCGAGCGGCTGAAGGCCACTTCCTCCACAGGTGACACCTTTGACCTCTCATCTGTTCCCTGTTGGAGGAGGAAACAATACTAAAGAGCAGCACAAAGAAAACAAAGATGGCGTGTTGAGAATTTAAACCACACCCTTTTAAACGGGCCCGGATGTAGGCATGGGCATGGAGGGGCAATGCCCCCCCTAAAAATAGTGACTGCCCCCCCCAAATGCGATGACATTCCTAGCAGTAAATGAACTAGTGTGGAAAGCTCCAGTGGTGATGATTTCTCTGCAGGACAGTTCTTCATGGTTGACTACACGCTGGCCAAAGACTCCAAATTTAATGAAATAAACAAAGACATCCCAGAATATGCAAAATACACATCTCACAACATACAAAACAAAATGATTGCAACACTAGCAAAAATGGTGTTAAAAACGATCAAAGATAATTATGACAAAACAGATTGTGCTGGGTTTTGCATTAAAAGTGATGGAACTAGGGACAGATGGGGAGAATCAGTCAGTCATGGTTAGATTTGTCTGTAATGGCGTTCCAGAGGAACACCTGATCGGTCTGCTTGACCTCAGTCAGTTAGATGCAGATTTTATTACCACCCAAACCCTTGAGCATCTCTCTGACTCAGGCTATAGTGCAGCTGAAATGATCAGTCAGTGCTATGATGGAGCTTCTGTCATGAGTGGGTCAGGGGTGGGCTTCAGGCCTTACTGCAGAAGAAGGTAGGGAAGGATATTCCCTACATCCACTGCTACAGCCACCAGCTGCACTTGGCAGTGGTCCATGCAATGCAGGCGGAGCCATGTGCAAAAACCTTTTTTGATCTTTCAGGATCTCTACTCTCATTTGTCCACCGTCATTATGTTTCACAGAACTATGACGTTCCCTCCCTGAAACAACTGTTGGAGATCAGGTGGACAAGCCACCGTGATGTGACCAAGTGCCTTGTGGAGAATCAGGATGCTATTATGAGTGTCCTGTCAGAGGTTACAGAGGACAGAGCTGCTGCTGTTGATATCTGTACAGAGGCATCGGGACTGTTGATGATGTTAAGGAGGCACAATTTCCAAATCTCCAGACTGGTTTCACGGTCAAGGACCTGAAAGACTTTTCGGGGACAAGATCAGCTCCCTGACTATTGGACAACTGCCTCGACACGCCACGGAAGGACCCTGAAGTCTTCCTACTGAGAAGTTGAACTTTGCGCTTCATGTTCCGAACTACGTTACTACGCTCCGGACCTGGACTTCAAGATACTTATCAACGTAAGACTGAAACCATCCTGATCAACGGAAGAGGACTCTGACTTTCTAACCTATTCTCCAGCTGGGACTCTCAGTCCACGGACAAGCCCTTTGATGAAGAACGCCTGGTTTGCCTCAGCTCTGCCATTGTTAGAGCAGCATAAGTTAATATTACACCTTCATTTTTCCTCCTTCACTGAAAGATTCGTCTGCACCTTGGAGCTTTGACCTCACCTGATGTTTCAATACACCAAACTGATGTTTTCTGTGTATTATATGGTTTTGCTAACCCCTCCTAGTCTCCTTACAGGAACTGCCATAAGTCGTAGAATTGTGCATCAAAGTAAATTCATTTCAATTTGTATGAAATGCAATTTATTTATATATATATATATGTATATATACATATACATACATATATATACATATATGTATATATGTATATGCACATATACACATATACATATATATATACATATAAGTATATATATATGTATATGTGTATATGTGCATATACATATATACATATATGTATATATATGTATGTATATGTATATATACATATACATACATATATATACATATATACATATATATGTATATGCACATATACACATATACATATATATATACATATAAGTATATATATATATATATATATATATATATGTACATATACATATATATGTATATATGTATATGTACATATATACATATACATACATATATATACATATATACATATATATGTATATGCACATATACACATATACATATATATATACATATAAGTATATATATATATATATATATATATATATATATATATATATATATAAATATATATATATATATATATATATATATATATATATATATATATATATATATGTACATATACATATATATGTATATATGTATATGCACATACATGTATATGTACATATATGTATATGTACATATACATATACATATATATATATATATATATATATATATATATATATATATATATATATATATATATATATATATATATATATATATATATATATATATATATATATGTACATATACATATATACATGTATATGGGTCTATCTCATAGGTCTATCTGCGTGGTTACGCAGTTCTGGCGTTGGCCTGTGGGGGCAGTGGAGCTTCTTGTGGGCCTCAAGCAAATGGAAGAGTCTTTTACGCATGCGTAGAACCGCTGCTGGCCTGGCTCAGGCTCAGACGTCATCGTGTTGTCCTGGAAGATAACCGGGATGTGACTGATGCCCCCCACCGATGATCTCCAGTAAACTGGTGCACTTGACGGCAAATCCGGAAGAATATCCGCCCAGCGCCCACCGGGGACCCCCGCTGAGAGGCCTCTGAGAGCGGACAGCCACGCACACGGACTCCGGTAAGAGCCGACACGTCAGCGGAGGCTCGGCTGCTGAGCGGCCGTCGCCAGGCGAAGTCAGCCCGGTCAGCTGATCCAGGGGAGCAGCTGCTCGATTTGTGTTGGCCGGTTTAATCCCGATCCGAACCGGGATGGAGGGGTCCGAGTTTGGCCTCCGGCCCGGCCCGATCTGGACTTCCTGTTCGATGTTCAGACTTCTGTCTGCCCAACCCAGTCCTGGTCCATAACCATCTGGACAGTGTTGGTTCTGTTCTGTCCTGGACAGAGGTCCGGTTTGGTTCTGTAGCCAGATTCTGGTGGATGAGTGGACCAGAACCAGGTGTCTGACCCAGTTCTGGTCCAGAACTGAGACCTGCTGCCTAGAATTGGTATGACTAACCCTGATGTTCTGGAGTCCAAACCCGGCTCCTCAGACACTGTTGTTGTGTTATCAACACCTGCTGGCTCAGACAGCTGTCACTCAAAGCTGTGCATGCTGGGTAGCGTTTCCATGGTAACCATCTGATGGAAGGTGCCAAAAGATTTCTGTCTAAATGCTGGTGAAGGTTCTCAGTCATCCAGGTCACGATAATCCAACAAAGGCAACTGGACTTCTTTGGTTCTCTTCTCATCCAAGGAGCTTTAATCCCGACCGGAATATGGGAGAGTCAGGATTATAAACTGTTTTATTTACTTATTCTTTATTTAACCAGGAAGGTCCAGTTGAGATTAAAACCTCATTTCAAGAGAGTCCTGGCCCAGAGGCAGCAGAAGCTACAGTTACAACACAGGGAGTCTGTCTCGAGGCTCTCCGTCTGGTTTTAACTGTGTTCAAGGAGACAAACTGGGTTATTTCCAGTGTTCCTGTCCAAGACGCGTCACAGCACAATCAGTCATTCACCCATTCACAAACTGGTGGGGATGAGCTACGATGTAGCCACAGCTGCCCTGGGGCGCGCTGAGAGAGGCGAGGCTGCCGAGCACAGGCGCCACCGGTCCCTCCGACCACCACCAGCAGGCAAGGCGGGTTAAGTGTCTTGCCCAAGGACACAACAGCAGTATTCTCGGGTCAGAGCCGGGATCGAACCTGCAACCCTCTGATTACTGGACAACCTGCTCTACCTCCTGAGCGGCTGCTGTCCCTTACCAAGACGCTGTGCTGAGGCATTCATGTACTGAAGGTCTCCGTAATCCAGAACAGACAGAAATGTTGCCATAACCAGTCGGTTTGTTTAGAAAACAGAAACCAGTCTGAGTTTGAGTTTCTCCACAAGATTATCTACATGGGCTTGAAGGAGAGGGAGTCATGGAGCCAGACACCAAGGTGTTTGCATGTGTGGACCACCTCCATGATGTTTCCCTCAACAGTGGTCACTGAGGGCATCCTTAGAGGTCTTGTTTAGAGTTAGAAGCCAACGTTAGCTTGGTCTTGTCTGCACTGATGACCAATCTTGACTGCAGAAGTGTTTGTTGGACCTCATTAAAGCTTTCTGTAAGAATTCAGCAGCTTTAGCGGGGGCTGGTCCACAACAGTAAATGATTGTGTCATCAGCGTAAAAGTGCTAATTAGCATCACACACATGCTGTCCTGTCATTAATATACATAATGAACAAGAGAGGTCCCAAGACTGAACCCTGTGGTACTCCCTTGTGGACACTCAAACATTTAGAGGACAACCCATCACATTTAACGCATCGAGTTCTGTCCCTCTAGTAGTCTGTGAACCACGATGTTCAGACAATCCCAACGGAGAAGCTTTTGTTTTAGAACAGCGTGGTCTCCAGGGTCAAAGGTCCTAGATCAGTGAAATGTGAAGCACCGTGCTGCTTTTTATCCAGAGCAACAAGTATGTCACTGATGTAGCATCTGTTGTTGTTTAACGAGCAGAAACTACTCTGAATACCCCCGATGAGTCATCAGCCTCTGTTGTGAGAGAGTCGTGTTTATTAGATGCAAGAAGCCCAAGAAGTCCAGTTTCCTTCATTTGAACCCTTTTGGGTTCTGTGTCTAAAAGTTCTAAAGAACTGGATTGTGTGTGTGTGTGTGTGTGTGTGTGTGTTTGTTGAGTGTATGTGTGTGTGTTTGTTTGTTGTGTGTGTGTGTGTGTTTGTTGTGTGTGTGTGTGTTTGTTTGGTGTTTGTTGTGTGTGTGTGTGTGTGTGTGTTTGTTGTGTGTGTGTGTGTGTGTGTGTGTTTGTTTGGTGTTTGTTGTGTGTGTGTGTTTGTTGTGTGTGTGTGTGTGTGCGCATGTGTGTGTGTGTGTTTGTTGGGTGTGTGTGTGTGTGTGTGTGTTTGTTGGGTGTGTGTGTGTGTGTGTGTGTGTGTGTGTGTTTGTTGGGTGTGTGTGTGTGTGTGTGTGTGTGTGTGTGTGTTGTTTCTAGGACAGTCGACCCAGACTCAGATTCTGTGGTCTGTTTGGGACTAAATCTGGAACCTGTCTGTTCCCACAGGGTTCTTGCCGGGTTCTGTTGGACCTGCATCAACATGAGTGGCGCCGCTCTCGGGATTGAGATCATCCTGGTGTTTTTCCTGGCGCTGTTCCTGCTGCACCGATATGGAGACTTCAGGAAGCAGCAGCGGATGGTTCTGTTCGGCACGCTGCTGGCCTGGTACCTGTGCTTCCTCATTGTCTTCATCTTACCCCTGGACGTTAGCACGGTAGGAACCGGAACCAGTCCACCCACCTTTGTTTATGTAGCACTTGACTTCATACACAGCTCGGTGACCATAGTGATGCACAGATAACAACAAGAAACCAGCGAAGGTAAAACGCTAACAAATCCACAAGCAAGGAGGCCCGTGTAAGGTAGCTGGTTCCTCAGGGACCCGAGGCTCCTCCCCCTCCGGTCGACTCACAGGTCCATGAACCGGGCTAAAAAGGCTATTCTCTTACTCGCCCTGCCTCACGCCCTGGACCACGCATGTTACTGCAGTTAAATGAAAACTAATGATGGTGTTTCGACCACGCCGGTCACGCACTTTCAGATTATCAGCTTGTAAAAGTTTATATATTTAATTTTCCCTGCAGTGATTCATTTGAACACATCCTTGATTAAATGCACGGATTATCCAAACATCTTGTTCATTCAACACCTTTGATTATTTCAACCTGTAAGTTGTAAAGTCATTCATGAACTTCATTCAGAGTGAAGAAAGCAGGAGTCTCACACGAGGCCTTGGCTGAAGATGTTGTCTTCTTTGTATGGTAACGAGCTCTGGTCCAGAGCATCCAGAGAGCTCTGGTCCAGAGCATCCAGAGAGCTCCAGAGAGCTCTGGTCCAGAGCATCCAGAGAGCTCCAGAGAGCTCTGGTCCAGAGTATCCAGAGAGCTCCAGAGAGCTCTGGTCCAGAGCATCCAGAGAGCTCCAGAGAGCTCTGGTCCAGAGCATCCAGAGAGCTCCAGAGAGCTCTGGTCCAGAGCATCCAGAGACCAGAGCATCCAGAGAGCTCTGGTCCATAGCATCCAGAGAGCTCCAGAGAGCTCTGGTCCAGAGCATCCAGAGAGCTCCAGAGAGCTCTGGTCCAGAGCATCCAGAGAGCTCCAGAGAGCTCTGGTCCAGAGCATCCAGAGACCAGAGCATCCAGAGAGCTCTGGTCCATAGCATCCAGAGAGCTCCAGAGAGCTCTGGTCCAGAGCATCCAGAGAGCTCCAGAGAGCTCTGGTCCAGAGTATCCAGAGAGCTCCAGAGAGCTCTGGTCCAGAGCATCCAGAGAGCTCCAGAGAGCTCTGGTCCAGAGCATCCAGAGAGCTCCAGAGAGCTCTGGTCCAGAGCATCCAGAGACCAGAGCATCCAGAGAGCTCTGGTCCATAGCATCCAGAGAGCTCCAGAGAGCTCTGGTCCAGAGCATCCAGAGAGCTCCAGAGAGCTCTGGTCCAGAGCATCCAGAGACCAGAGCATCCAGAGAGCTCTGGTCCATAGCATCCAGAGAGCTCCAGAGAGCTCTGGTCCAGAGCTTCCAGAGACCAGAGCATCCAGTGAGCTCTGGTCCAGAGCATCCAGAGACCAGAGCATCCAGAAAGCTCCAGAGAGCTCTGGTCCATAGCATCCAGAGAGCTCCAGAGAGCTCTGGTCCAGAGCTTCCAGAGACCAGAGCATCCAGAGAGCTCTGGACCAGAGCTCCAGAGACCAGAGCATCCAGAGCATCCAGAGAGCTCCAGAGGCAGGACAGATGGGGTGTTTGTGTTCGCAAATTAAAGTAACTTTCTGCTCATGTTAGATGTACATGTGACCTTTGATCCGCTACAACTAGATCTGTTAAACCTAGAATGTTTTGCACCGTTCAGTAAACATGTTTATTTCTGTGTGAAATGTTTTTTTTTAACATGGGAGTCGGTGAGAAATGCTCACTTCTGCTGCAGCCCCTAGTGGATGAGGGTGGAACTGCAGCATTTGTCACTTCCTGTTGGCTTCAGTTTTACTGCAGAATAGTGAGGGCTTGATTATAACGTGCACTTTTTTGTCGCCGTTGGCTTACCATAGAGCTGCATTGGGGAGACACGCACACGATGTGAATCTGCGCCACACTTGGTGTGAATGAGGCTTAAAACAGAACCGGTTTTGGGTCGGGTCCTGAGTTGTGTTCTCTTTACAGACCATCTACAGGCAGTGTGTCTCGGAGCACGAGGACCATGGCTCTGGTCCCACCGTCGGCCCGATGCCACTCAACCAGACTACACCCAACATGTCAGCAGCATCGGCTAAAAGGTTAGAACACACACCACCAGTATGGACCTGGATCTGCTGACCCACTCCAGCTGCAGGACTGGTGGACTTTAACGCTCTCGTGGGCAACGACAGTGAGACCTGGAGAGGTGTGGTGGGGAGGAGCGGCCCTGATCTGAAGCTGAGCGGTGTTTAGTTGTTGGTCTTCTGTGCTCGTCATGGATGGTCCATAACGAGCACCATGTTCAGACATAAAGCTGTCCATGTGTGCTCTTGGCACCAGGAGCTATGGTCCAGACTTCCTGTAGAGCCTTCTAGAAAATAAAGGATGCTGTTTAATATTTAGAGTCCAACAGTCTGGTACCTGTGCAGGAACTGATTCTGGTTCTGAGGGTCCGTACCAACACCAACCTGCTAATAAAGATTCATCTCCAGGAATTATTGTAAAAATCACATATTTTAAACCTTCTGATTGACCAGGATCGGTATCGACCCAATACTGATACCAGACTCTGGACCTCTCATTTAGTTTCTCTGTTCTTGTGAAGCGCCTCGTGATTTTGTCTTGAGAGGCACTTTTTCCCTCTTCTTCAGTATCCAATATCAGCCGAATTCAGTCCAGTTTATTTATAAATCACCAAATCACAACCAGAGGCGTCTCAAGGACCTTCACACAGTAAACAACACAGGTCAGGTCATTAAGCCAGTCAGTAAAATGTTTCCTATATAAGGAACCCAGCAGGTCGCATCGAGTCACTGACTAGTGTCAGAGTCTTTACAGCAATCCTCATACTAAGTAAGCATGCAGCGACAGTGGAGAGGAAAACTCCCTTTTAACAGGAAGAAACCTCCAGAGTACTACTAGTAGAGGTAGGGTATCTGGCTGACAGCACACTTTCATCGTACATTCACATGAATTCATTACTTTCTAAAGTCAAGTCTAGAATTGGGTTTCTATAGCAACAGGTCATCCTTTACTCATTCTGCAAAGCAAACCTTGGTCAACATGACAATCCTTCCATCTTAGATTACGGTGACATCATTTAAAGAACCGCTTCCTAAAAACTTCAAACTGGATGTTATTTACCGCTCAGCAACCCGTTTGGTCACTGGTGCCTCTTTCACTACTCATCATGTGATCTGTACTCACTCGTTAATTGGCCGTCCCTCCATTCCTGCAGGATGTTACATCGGTATCGGTTCATATACAAAACACTCATCGGTAGAACCGTCATATCTTCTCTCATCATCATCACTTCCAACAACCAACGCTGTTTACATTCCAGTAACTTCATCTCTGGTTATTCCCAAAGCTCGCACCTCCTTTGGCCGCTCCTCATTCCAGTTTGCTGCTTCCAGCGACAGGAATGAGCTGCAGGAACCACTGAAGCGCACTACCTACATTCCATTATCTACCTTCAATAATTCATGGTGATCAATAGTTTCTGATCGATGTTCCTGCTTCTGAGTATTAAAGACTGTTTTAGTCTGTTCTGGCTGCTCGTACATGTTATATATGAGAACAGGCCTTTGTTCTTATGTCTGTTTTATCTTACCTGTTGCTCTCTGGTGTGAAGCTAACCATGTGTGTTGCTGCCACTTGGCCAGATCCTCGTTGTAAATGAGAACGAGTTCTCAGCCAACTCGTCTGGATAAGTAAAGGTTAAATGAATACCAGGATTGGTATCGGAGCCTAAGCCACGCCCACCTACTTCCTGACCACGGGTCCCCGGAAGAAAGAAAAGATGAACGCAAGTCAACGGGGCTAAAAACGCTATTTTCTAATCCCGCTTGTCCATCCATGGATTTCACACAGGATGTCCGTGAATCTTAAAGACACATTTTGACACCAAGAACGCGTTTATTTTCTAACAAGGGAACGATATTTTAGGTTTTGTGTGAAAATAAGTCCAGGACTACAAATGTGCATCACCAAGTGACGTCATCGACCCAGGGCTGTAAGTTCAGCAAACTTCCCACAGCAGGAAAGAACCACCATAAATCTGGTCATGTGGTGAGTAGCAGCTATGCTGGGGGGGAGGAGCTTATGTGGTGATGTCACATATGCGACGTGCCGATTTCTAGTTTGTAGTCATGCTAATTACGAACTTTTACAAGCTGATAAACCTGAAGGTAGGTGACTGGTGCGGTCGAAACACACATCATGTGTGTGATCCAGGGCGTAAGGCACAGCGGGTTAGAAAATAGTGTTTTTAGCCTCGTTCAGGGACCCGTGAGCCGACCGGAGAGGGAGGAGCCTCAGGTTCCCTGTACTCTGGCTCTCTGATGTCACATTTGCCAGCATGTTACTCCGCTAACAGAGGAGGAGTCTGGGTAGGGTCAACAGAACCTGTGCTGGTAGTTTGGGTCAGATCAACCTGATGAGACAAAGTACCTGTTTAAGTGGCCACGCTGTTGCTATCAGGTAAATAAAGTGTGTGTGTGTGTGTGTGCGTGTGTGTGTAGGGTGTCATCCTCTCCATGCTACAAGCCGTGGAGCTACATCCCTGAAGGCATCATGCCCGTGTTCTGGAGGGTGGTCTACTGGACGTCTCAGTGTTTGACCTGGTGAGGGAGTTCTGACCTGGTACCAGCTCTGGTTGCTGTGGTTTTGTTTTGACCTTGTCTGACCTCCTTGTTGTTCGTAGGCTCCTGCTGCCCTTCATGCAGTCGTATGCTCGCTCTGGGGGCTTCTCCATCACTGGTAAGATCAAAACCGCCCTGATCGAGAACGCCATCTACTACGGCACCTACCTGCTGATCTTCGGCTCGCTGCTCATCTATGTGGCCGTCCATCCTGAGTGGCGCCTGTCCTGGTGAGTCTTAGATCAGCTGATGTCACACATAGAAGAGATTCTGTTCCTGTAACTACGGAGAACAGAACGCTCCTGTTCTTTTACAGGTTACCCCGGTTCGGTACATATTTATGGTTTCATCACATTTAGGATCGTTTAACTTGCAGTAAAATCTACAAAATGTTCCTAGATGTACCTAAGACACACAATCTGAGCTATGAAACCATAAATACCCTTTTCTGGTTGGAGGAGACGTAACACCAGAACCCTAACCCTTCCTCAGCTGGAACAGAAACGGAACCGTTGGAAACAGAAATGGTTTCTTTCTCAGCAAACGAACTTCCTGTTTTCCCTCAAGCAAAAACTGTTTTAGGATATTATCCATCCATTTTCTTCCGCTTCTCTGGCATCGAGTCGTGGGGGCACCTGTGTATTAAATATAATATAGAATAAAAGTCCCGTCCCCGGGCTGCCACCACCGTGAGGGAGGGGTTTGGGTGTACCAGTGGTCCTAGGAGCTAAGCTGACTGAGGCTTTCTGCCTCTGGTAGGGTCACCCATGGCAAACAGGTCCGAGGTGAGGGATCAGACAAAGAGCAGCCCGAAGACCTCTTATGATGAACAATATAACGGAAACCGTGTTCCCTCGCCCGGACGTGGGTCACCGGGGCCCCCCTCTGGAGCCAGGCCTGGAGGTGGGGCACGTTGGCGAGCGCCTGGTGGCTGGGCCATCACCCATGGAGCCCGGCCGGGCACAGCCCGAAGAGGAAACGTGGGCCCCCCCTTCTCATGGGCTCACCACTCATGGGAGGGGCCAAAGGGGTCGGTGCAGTGTGTGACAGGTGGTAGTCGAGGGTGGGGACCTTGGCGGTCTGATCCTCGGCTACAGAAGCTGGCTCTTGGCACATGGAATGTCACCTCTCTGGTGGGGAAGGAGCCTGAGTTGGTGTGTGAGGTTGAGAGGTTCCGACTAGATATAGTCGGACTCACCTCAACGCATGGCTCTGGCTCTGGAACCAGTTTCCTTGAGAGGGGTTGGTCTTTCCACCACTCTGGAGTTGCTCCCACTGAGAGGCGCCGAGCAGGAGTGGACATACTAGTTGCCCCCCATCTTGGTGCCTGTACGTTGGGGTTTACTCCAGTGAATGAGAGGGTAGACTCCCTCCGCCTATGTGTGGGGGGACGGGTTCTGACTGTGGTCTGTGCTCATGCACCAAACTACAGTTCAGACTACCCACCCTTTTTGGAGACCTTGGAGGGGGTGCTGGAGAGCGCTCCTTCTGGTGACTCCCTCGTTCTGCTGGGGGACTTTAACGCTCACGTGGGCAACGACAGCGAGACCTGGAGAGGTGTGGTTGGGAGGAACGGCCCCCCTGATCTGAATTCGAGTGGTGTTTTGTTATTGGACTTCTGTGCCAGTCATGGATTGTCCATAATGAACACCATGTTCAGACGTAAAGGTGTCCATATGTGCTCTTGGCACCACGATACCTTAGGCCGCAGCTCCATGATCGACTTTGTTGTTGTTTCATCTGACCAGCGGCTGCTTGGACACTCGGGTGAAGAGAGGGGCAGAGCTGTCAACTGACCGCTACCTGGTGGTGAGTTGGCTCAGATGGTGGGGGAGGATGCCGGTCAGACCTGGCATGCCTAAACGTATCGTAAGGGTCTGCTGGTAACTTCTGGCAGAGTCTCCTCAACTCAACTCAGTCTTTATTTCTAAAGCACCTTTCAGGCACCGGGGTGACACCAAGCACTGTAAAGACATGCATTAGTATCGACAGGACATGGGTTAAAACAAGAATACAAAGAAATAAAAACAACGTTCAAATAGCTCTAATGAAGGAAAATACAAGAAGACTAGCGGCTACGAGTCGAGGCCAGGTCAAAGAAAAAAGTCTTTAGCCTGACTTTAACAACTACGTTACAGGGTAACATATCCAGAACGGGCCTGCCACAGAAAAAGCCCTGTCTCCTCCCAACCAATACAACCAATGCAGCTACTTAAGAACGGGTGTGATGTGCTGTCTTCTGTCAGCTCCAGTCAGGAACCGTGCTGCTGAAGTCTGGACAGAGCAGCTTTACTGATGCCGTATGAACAGGAGTTGGAGGAGTCTAGCCGGGACGTGATGAAGGCACGAATCACTGACTCTAGAAGATGGACACTCAGGATGGGCTTTAATTTAGAAATTCACCTAAGATGGTGGAAACAGGACTTAACTGTGCTGTTGACCTTCAGAACCAGGTCTATTTTTACTCCTAGGTTTGAAGCGGAGGATGTTACACGAGGAGAAAGAGAGTGGAGGTCAGGTGACTTGGTCCTCTAATGTTGTTGGGACTAAAAATAATGACCTTTGTTTTAGAGTCATTCAGATGGAGGAAGTTTTCAGCCAACCATTCCTTCACATCATGAAGACAATCAAACATGCTTAGTGGAGTCAGTGGGTTTAAGAGAAAAATAGATTTGGCAGTCGTCTGCATATAGGTGGTATGAAATAGCATGCTGTCTGAGAATAGCTCCTAAAGGCAGAATATGGAGGGAAAACGGTAATGGGCCAAGAATGGAACCTTGAGGGACACCCAGGGATGGGAGACTGACTGGGACGAGTAGTCGACCAGCATGACCCTGATGGTCCTGTTAGAGAAGTATGACCAGAACCAGCCAAGGGCCAAACCTGAGATGCCAGTCTGTGTGTGTAGTCTGGAGATCAGGAAGTTATGATCGATCGTATCAAAGGCTGCTGATGGATCAAGAAGCACCAGAACCACTTGGGACCCTGAATCAAAAGCCATAAAGATGCTGCTAAACACACACACACACACACACACACACACACACACGCACACGCACACGCACACACAAGCACAAGCAGTTTCTGTACTTTGATGTTGTCTAAACCCAGACTGAAAGATGTTCATGCCTTGATGGTTGTTTAGACGTATTAGTAACTGTTCATGCACGACCTTTCCAAGTACCTTTGATGCTAATGGTAATTTGGAAATTGGTCAGAGATTTGAAAAACGAGTGGGATCAAGACCGGTCCTCAACCTCACAAAATCCAATGATGGCGTAGATCAATCTATCCCAATCCATGCTGATTCGTCCACTCGCTCCTTGATCGCATCCATGTTTTTCGCCAACGCATGAATCTCAGCCAAAGTTTCAAGCTTACGACTCATCGTGACAATTATAGGAGTTTGTGCGTTCACAGCACGATGTAATCCATCCCTGAGCTCCGGGATTGAGCCAATATTCCTCGACAGCTCGTTAATTTTCCAGTAAGCCAGGTAACCGCTCAGGCCAAACAGCAGGAAACCTGACACCAAACCACGAATATCCATACGTCTTCAGAATCCTCTACAGACAGTTGAGAGAGGCAAATCAGGTTCCACTGTTTCCAGGAGTCCATGATATACCCAGCTGGCTCTGTCCCAGAGGGGCACCCAGGAGCCCCTTCTCCCGTTCTCATCGTTGAGAAAATTTTGTCAATCGCGTTGAGTTACCAGCTGACCAGGTCCATTTTTTAATAATTTCCAGTTTCCAGAAAAAATTTAGAAGCTCTGTACACCCAAAGACAGACAAAGAGCGTTGGGGATAAGAAAGGGAGGAGAGGAGGAAAAAAGCGTCTGAACTCTCCAAGAGCCGGAATAAGAGTGTGGGCTCTTAAGGGTTAAAGCATGGAGACACCATGAGGTCCATGCATCACCTACATGGTGCTGAAGTTCCTCAGTAAGGCAGCTGGGATGCTTCACTTCACTAAAGCCAGTATCAGCAGACTGCCAAGGCCTCAAACTGGGACTGGAGCCCAGGTACCTGGTGGCTTCTCCTGGAGCCTGTGAGAGGCCCCGTTGGGCTGCGCATGGTAGGAACCTGCCTGTCTTCCACTCAGGTAGGTCTTCCCCAAGACTGAGGCCCAGGTGGCCCAGGCCAGGCAGTTGGGACTCGGCCCCTGACCCTCGTGGCCATCGTTAATCTGCTGTCAGTGAGCCCCAGAGCGGCTGTGGCTACGATGTAGCTCATCACCATCGGCACGAGAATGACCAGATCCATTATAAAGCACCTTGGGGGGGTTGTATGATCCTAGGCACTATAGCAGATATAAGCCAGTTACTGTTTCCTGGTCGCTTACACATTAGCTGTCCTGGTCACTCCCAAGTTTGGTTTCACACACGGGTCAGATTAGCGTTTTCGGTTCCTAGGGTCGGTGTCTGGTACATGGTAGCAACCTGCACATCCAATCAGAATCAAGAAAAGGCCGTTACCAGGCAGAATACAGGATAAGTCTAAGTGTGTGTGTGTGTGTGTTTCCCAGGTACGAGCTGCAGACCATCGGCATCACAGCGGCTAATACCTGGGGTCTCTTCCTGCTGGTCCTGTTGCTAGGATACGGTCTGGTGGAGATCCCACGGTCCTACTGGAACGCCTCCCGACACGGACTCCTCCTCATCAAGACCTACTTCAAGGCTGCCAAGCTGATGACGGAGAAGGCTGACGCTGAGGAGAACCTGGAGGATGTGATGGAGGTGGGCGTCTGTGGGCGGTACGGTCTGGTAGGAACCTCCAGCTGGAGCTTCACTGTGTGTGTGTTCTGCTGCAGGAGGTGAGGAAGGTCAGCGAGTCCATCAAGTACAACCACCCTCTGAGGAAGTTCATCGACACAGTCCTAAGAAAAGTAGGAGTTCAGTTGTCTGTGGTTCTGCTGATGGCCCGGCTGCTGGGGTGTAACTCTGTGGTTCTGCTCCTAGTGTCCGCTGGACTACCAGGAGAAGATGGGTCGGAACATGGACGACTACGAAGACTTTGATGACAAACAGAACACGTACCCGACGGAGAAGAGCCTGGTGAAGCTGCACAAACAGGTGAGAAGTGGACCAGCGTAGAGCAGAACCTGAGACTAGATGAGACCATGCCCCTGTCCTCAGGTCATCTACGCGGTCCAGAGACACAACAGGACCCGGGTCCAGTGGCAGATCCTCCTGCAGCAGGCCATCCACCTGGAGGACGTCGCCAAGAACGAGACCAGTTCCACTCACCAGTTCGTCCACAGCTTCCCGTCCTCGGAACCGACGGGCTGGTTCAGCAGATACGTCTACACCCCGACAGCAGGTGGGTCTGACACCTGAGGGCTGGTTCTGGTTCTGCTCACGTCCACCTCCTTCTGAGTAAAAGCTGAATTCTGTCTTGGTCCAGAGTGGTACTGGGAGTGTCTTCTGAAGCGCTGCTTCTACCGGCTGCTGTCCGTGGTCCTGACCCTGTTCAGCGTGGCTGTGGTCTGGTCCGAGTGCACG